CCTATCCGCATTGCACGGTTCGCACCCAGGTGGCGCGCGACCTAGTGAAAACGGTTTGCACAGCTGAGAGAAGTGATGGATCATGGGCGAGCTCTGTGTGATGGTCCTGCACCCGATAGGCTTGCAGGGCGCGGCGTATCTAAGGGAAAAGGGTAATTGCATCCATGGGCGATGGTTCAAGGTTTTCAAAGTTTTCTTCAGATAACCTTTCCCTTATTGTGGGCCAACACTTGCTGTAGCCATCCGCTATACACATCTGCTGAGACCAATGGTTGTTCTGGCGTCGTCACAGCAGCAGTGAGGAAGCTTGAGCACGAATTGGGCGTAGGCGATTTGAGAACTGAAGAATGTCGAGTGATGGGACGTTTTCTATACAAGGTAGGAAGTGAACTTTGTTAAAGACACTCTCTGTAAAGCAGATGTTTTTTGAAGGCAGTTATGAGTGATGCACTTTGGGGTGAACACGAGTTAGACTATGCTATAATAACGCGGAATATGTCGATGGACCGAATTCTACCAAATCCATCCGAAGTTTGCGATGTACGAGCCGTGGATGAACGAGAACTCGCCAACTGGATAGCATCAGGTTTGTCTCATGTTGTGGGTTTAATTCGGGTCAGCTTTAACGTTTTCTCATTTCAAGAGCCATCTTCATTTTCTCCATGGTTTCTGCTTTTCCATCGTCTACGGTTTCTTTCTGAATGGTGGTCAAACCTGGATGGAATTCAGAAGCACCCTGTAAATATGAATGTTGTGAGGATGAATTGATTTTTCAAGATTTGCGGTATATATTGACATTGCTTTATTGTATTGGGTTGTTCCAACTGCTTGATATGCGCAGCATTTTCTTAGTAACAGTTTTCTTTGCTTACAAAGATTTTTGAGTGCAGAACAATAGTTTGTTTCAAACAGTACGTAACGAACGTTATTATCCGCAGAATAGGTTATGCAACAGTTAACTACCTATTTTTACCTCTAATTTGGTAAGCCTTGGGATCTTATTCCTATTTTTCTTTCTCTGACTTCTTTGGGTTTTTTT